GTCAATCTAAAACTCTAATAATCATAGTCGGATACGGTGGGTACATAGCCAGGTGAATTTTCTGTTTTATTATCAGGTAGAGCGAGTACTCGTTTGCTCACATTGGAAGATCAATCTGCTTCTTGGTTTAAATTATATCTTGAACAACCACAACACTTAGAGCATGTCTGAGTTTGTATGCTTTATTCATTACTACTTTGTTATTCAGCTCAGCCCGCACCTCGTTGCAGTTCACCAGTATGAATGCCTAAATAGTACAGACAGTAAACCATATGTTAATGAAAAATGTATATTTTGTTTTCAAATATATGATCAATTATATTAAATAGTAAGCTATCATAATAAGATATTCTGTTATAAAACAATTTAAGTATATCGTTAACTCGTCAGTGAACTTATTAGTTCAAAAGATTCTTTAAAAAGATATAACCATATCCTTCGAAAATGAAATGCTATGCTTTATACCTGTAGGGCGAAATTTATTCTTCTATAATTTTCCAAGTCCGCTGATAGCGAAAAAAATCCCATAATATATATGAAAATGAAAATTCATTTCATTATTTTCTCCTAGTTTTGTTCTACTTTCAGATATTAGATCAAATACATTCTGGTCACCAAGTTTCAATTATTGGGGTCAAAACGTTGCCTCTCATCGTTTGATTTAAAAGGTAATCATCAACTCATTCTGTGTAACTCACATATATGTTTCAAAAATTGTTCAAGACCACTTTTTATTACCACAATAAATTGTAAGGCAGTTTCTGCCAGATTACTCAGATTTTCTAACACTATGGTGAATGACTAAAATCTAATAAGTAAATGTATTGAAATTCTGTATAAACAGGCATTAGTATTTCAATTTTTTCGGTAGATTTTAGGATTGCTATATATGCAATAATCATAAAAGTAACCTAAGGATTTCTTAAACAATAATTGGTATAATAAAAATGTCTTGCTAAATCATTATCATCAGGTTGATTTCCTCTAATAAAATCGTCTAAACAATGCGAGTGATTATTATTTCTGACAATAATTGAAAGAATTATGTTATTTGTTTTCAATAAAATTCAGTTTGTACTATTTTTAGAGCTCAAAATGAATAAGAAGACAAGAAATGAAAATGATACTTTTCATCATAGATCTTTCGTCATTTGCTACGTATTCAGTTTCCAGAATCTTGATTGTCTATTAAGTGAATATTGTGTATATGCCACAAACCTCGTTCTACGGTGGTTCTCTCAAAGGATTCTGTAATCCTATACCAATCACACGCGTTCGAAGCAGTTGCCAATCTGCGCATGCTCCCTCACCTTTTCGAGCTCTATTCAACAACTTTCGATATGCCATATCCGTGGTTCTCGTTTACTGTTCGAGGACCACGACACAATTGATCTGCAGAATAATTGCTTGCGCACTTTTGTGCTGAATATCGTTTTCATTTAGCAATTTATTTTCTGCACCAGGTTTACTACTGTTGTATGTCGAACAATCATGATTGAGAGGCTTACAAAATGCTGATGAGTACTACATGTAATCACCAAATAATAAATTTCATACTATCTATGGGAGCAATGGGATCTGCAGTTTTAACAATTGCAATGACTTTGCTCAAGCGAGCCATGCGACTGAGTCCAACTGTGGACGTTTTATCTATAATAAGATACTCTACGAAGCGCCATTTCTTCTATAATAATATATCAGCAGAGCGTCTCATGTGTTTCATCCTCGTCTTTGGACTTCGGCTTTCCTCAAAAAAAGAATGAATAGCCATTTCTTCAACGCTCCAGCAACTAATGTTGGTACTAGCTTGCGCAGCTTTCGTCCGTATTTTGTCTGATAGAAATAGGCGGTAATAGTCCGAACTAGCTGAGGTTTTGGGTGTGGATGTGAGTGTGGGCGGAGATCAAATATAGCCGTGAATTTTCTCCCTTTTTTTCATCGCTGATTATCCGATGCCATTTGTAATCGAGTGCCTTCACGTCAACAGTAAGTGGTATAAGATGGAGCTGATTTCGAGCAACCCATCCGTTCGATTTTCTTATGCATATCAGACGCTTTGTGAGCTTGATACTAGAATCTGTAAACAGAAAATTGGACAACGGCTTAGTTTCAAACAACAAGTAATTATCTTTGATGTAATCAAACCGATTATGTTGATCAGCACTTTATAAGACATTTTTCAAAATGATTTTTTTCAGAGCCAATGCCAACCTCTTTTTTTGCAAGATAAATCAGCTATTTCTATATTTCCTATGATGTCGAAAATTGCATCGTTTCCGCCTTGCTCTATTCGACAAGTAGGCTCGAACAATATGAATGGTTCATAGTTTCTGACTCAGACGAAGCAATCACTTGTTGTAAATGCTCATCATGATCTTTTTTGAATTTGTGAAGTAACTGAATATTTTCGATAACCTTTTGCAATTCAGAAGTCATTTTTGCTTGGTGATATGCAAGTGCCTGTTCCCATGTTTAACCGATGTCGTACAAATCAGAGATAGCTCACCACGGGATAAACAAAGTAATAATAGATCGACAGTAACGTTCTTGCGTATCTTCTGGATCTTCGTCAGGAACTGATAGACCAAGTAACACGGAAATAACTGCTTTAACACGTTGCATGTTAAGGTGTGATAATGCCTGGGGATGTAAAGCTTCGAAACATGATCACTTGCATGATGGTCGCCCACGTCGTGATTCTACTGGTTCAATATTCGTTGTTATAGCACAAACTTGTCATTGTTTTCGATCATTAGCATCGATCACTTTTTCCGAGAAAGACGTACGTAGTTATATAGACATAAGTTATTGACTGCTTTTGAACGATATTGATGGTCGATTCCATCATTCACATATACATTTTCGTTGGAAGACTGGGCAGTCTAAATAGTGAATTGTTCTTCGACTTCTAATCTATCGATGCCATTGCATTGCTACCACTGAAAATAAATTTGATGCCTATGTTGGAACGATAGGCTGCAATAATGTATGTGGTGAAGTTATCATTTCATAAAGTCGTTTCAGTTTGATTTCATCTGACTTCGGATAAATCGATAATTCCTCTATAATTGCGGTAGGCATACACAGGTGGCATGATGAATTATCGTGTTTTTTTAGAATATTCATAATATGTGGCTGTATGCTCATGGACAGTTCTACTGGTCACTAGCTGTACTACATCTCTTTTGAAACCTAGCAAAA